CACGGGGTGCGTCTCAGGTTGGGCCAATCATTGGTTGAACAATCCCTCATCTCTGCTCCCTCTTTATCCCTGCACTTCTTGTGGGCAGGGTAATTTTTGGATCAAAGATTTTGTGGATGGGTTCTTGTTCCCCTCCCTTCACTAGCAGTCCTGCGTGGATCGAAGGTGGTAACTTCAGTCTCCATGAACCCTTCCTTCTGTGAGGAGTCTCAGCTACAGTCTTACTCATGTCCTTCAAGGAGCCTACCCTGTTGTAGGCCTTCAGCTTGTCAAAGAGATGCCCATCACCTCATTTCCCTTCTCTCTCCCAGCCCTCTCGTCTCCCACCACCATTCTTCCCACATCTGATTCCAACCCTCATTTCCCTCCCCGATTGATCTCCTATCAAGTTCCTTTTCTTCATCCACTTCCAATGTCTATTCTATTTCCCCTCTGAGTGACATTCCCACACCCTCCCTTGAGCTCTTACCTATTAACACCCTCCTTTGCTACTTAGCTTCTTTGGGTCTGTGGATTGTAACATGGTTATCCTGTAGTATATGTCTAATACCTTATTATAAGTGAGTACTGCCCAAAAGTGTTTTTTTTTTTTTGGGGGGGGGGGTTGGGTTACCTCACTCAGGATGATATTTTCTAGTTCCATCCATTTGGCTGCAAATTGCATGGTTTCTTTGTCTTTAATAGCTGTGTAGTATTCCATTGTGTAAATGTACTATTTTCTTTAACCATTCTGCAGTTGAAGGACATCTAGGTTTTGCCAGCTCTTGTCTATTAGGAATAAAGCTGCTACAAACATGGTTGAGCAAATGTTTTTATGGTGGTGGACGTTTTTGTGGGTATATGGCCAAGAGTTGTATAGCTGGGTGTTGAGGTATAACTATGCAAATTTTTTGAGGAAGCACCAGATTGATTTCCAGAGAGGTTGTACAGGGAAGCACTCCTACCAGCAATGAAGAAGTGTTCCCCTTTCTCCACACCCTGGCCAGAATGTGCTGTCCCTTGAGTTTTTTATCTTAGGCATTTGTAACAGGTGTAAGATGGAGTCTGAGAGTCCTATTAATTTTCATTTCTGTGATGACTAAGGCTGTCCAGCCTTTCTTTAAGTGCTTCTCAGCCATCCAAAATTCTTCTATTGTGAATTCTTGGTTTAGCACTGTACCCAATTTTTAACTGGTTTATTTGATTTGTTTGTGTTTAATGTTCTTTGTATATTATGGATATTAGCCCTTTGTCTGTATTGGTAAGCTCTTTTCCCTGTCTGCAGACTGCCATTTTGTTCTAGTAACAAAATGTCATTTGCCTTACAGAAGCTTTTCAGTTTCATGGGGTCCCATTGATCAATTGTTGATCTTAAAACCTGTGATGTTGTTGGTCTGTTCAGGAAGTTGTCTCCTATGTGAGTGAGTTCCAGACTTTCCCTAAATTTGTCTTCAAACAGATTACGAGTATCTAAATTTTTCTTGTTTTATTTCAAGGTCTTTGATCCACTTGGACTTGTGTAGGTATCAACATGTGATTTTAGCACTAGAAATGTTTTTTGTTTCTTTGTTTTTGTTTTGTTTTTCAATTTGTATACTCCTTTGTTTGGGGCATAGATGTTAAAAACTGAAATTTCATTTTTGTCTTTGATGAGTAGGCTGTATCCTTTCCTGTGCCATTTCTTTATGTTTGGGATGAAGTCTACTTTCTCATGTATGAAAATGTGTGCTCCAGCTTGCTTCTTAAGTTCATTTGCTTGGAATATGTATTCAAACTCTTTACCCTGATGTAATCTCTATGCTTTTGTTGATTTTTTTTTTTATCCAAAAGAATGAGAAATTCTCTTTTCACATCCACTCTGTTAGTCGGAATCTTTTTAATTGGGAAATTAGGACTATTGCTATTGAGAAATATCTATTACCAATATTAATTCCTTTTATTTTATTGTTGTTGCTGCTGATGGTGGTGCTAGTGATGGTGGTGGTGGTAGTGTATGTGCCTGTGTGTGTTTTCCCAATATTGTTTTTTGGTATTTTTTTATTTCCTTTGTTTTTGTCAATGTGCTTAAACTGCTTAGATTGGAGTTTATTCTACTTGCACATATCTATATTCGCGGGTAGATACTGTTTCAATTTGGTCTTGTTATGAATATTTTACTCTTTGTTCTATATTGATTAAAAAGGTTGTGGGTATAATAGTCAGTGCTGGCATCTCTGATCTCTTCCAGACTATAGTACATCTGTCCAGGTCCTTCTAGAATTACAGTCTTATTGAGATGTCAAGTGAAAATTTAATATGTCTGCCTTTAAATGTTACCACATATTTCCCCCTTGCAGCTTTAATATCTTTTCTTTATTATATGTGTTTAATGATTTCATCATTATGCAATAAGGGCTCTTTCTTTTCTAGTCCTCATATTTTTTGTTCTGTGTGCTTCATATACCTTCTCCTCCTTTAGCTACTGAAAATTTTCTTCTATAATTTGTTGAAATGTATTATGGTTTTTTTTGTGATAAGTTTTGTCTACTTTCTCTGTACCTATAATCCTATGTTTAGTCTTTTCAAACTTTCCTAGATTTCCTGTGTTGTTTTTGTTGTTGTTGTTATTGTTGTTGTTTGTTTGTTCTTTTTATTGTTTTTGTTTCAGGACTTGTTGGCTTTAACATTTTCTTTGACTAACATATCTCCAATACTATATTCTTTCTTCCATATCTTTTACTCTGTTGGTGAAGATTAATTCTTTAGGTTCTTTCTAATTTCTTAATATTTAATTTCCAGAAATACAAAAGTTTGTGTTTTCATTATTGATTTTATTTCCAGTTTTAGGTCTTGAACACCTTAATTTGTTCTCTTCATCTGAGCAGGTGTTTTAGGTTATTGCCATGCATGATCCTTGGTTGGAGTATCAGTCTCTGCAAGCCCATTTGGGCCCAGGTTTTTCGGCTCTGATGGTGTCTTTGTGGAGTTCCTGTCAAAAGGGATTATCTTTGGAGCCCACAGAATTTGTGGGCAGGAAAAAAGCAAACTGCAGCTGTGTTCTGTTGCAGCACTAAGGATGATTTGGGTGATAGGGTTTGTGGGAACAGGGAGAGGAGATGGTCTGCAGACGATCTGCTGGTTTTCAGGCCAGCATGTTCTAGTTTATTTTTTGTCACTCTTTTACAATTTCCCACATTCACTATATCCCAGGGACACTCACCCTACCAACACTTGACAACTCATGTTGTCCTTAATTGCCCCTTCACTAGTTTCATGATTTTTTTTCATTTTCATGTGCAACTTATCTGGTTCAACCATGGCCATCTTCATGACTCTTGGATTCAGACTGTGCTTTGGAGTATGATGTAGTCATCAGTTGTTACACAAGTGAAATAAGTAACCTCTTTGTTCTTTGAATCTTGGCAGGAGATAGTTTGGAAAGGATAGGTTAGAACATTTCCTCATTCTTGGTCAGTGCATACTTATGCAGAACCATCCAGTGAACTTATCCTTAATTGTTGAGTGTTCCTTATAGCAATGTATGTGTTGCCTGGAAGCAGGCAATCAGAAGTACTCATCTTATAACTATTTTGCTTTCATTTCTATTATATTCCTTGACTGTCATATGGATGGTTTAGAAATTCTTGTGTACTGATGGGATTTGATGCTCTCTTAATTTTCAGGATCATCCACAGTCATATTTATTGGTCTTTATTACTGATCACAGTGAAAAAATTCTTCCATTAGGGAAGATAATGTTTTACTTGTATATATGCATAAACACAAACATTTAGAAGGCTGTTTGACAATAAGTAGATTAAGCTAAATGGTAGCATGGAGCTCTTCCTTGTGTGGTATGGCCTCGCTCCCAACATGAAATTTCCTGTAGGTTCATAATACCTGGTATTTGATACTCTCTTTACAGATATCCTTTGTCTGTACCTTAGCAAACATACTCAATATCCCCAGAGTAAGACATTTATATCAGGCATAAAAAAAATTTTACACTATACTTTCAAATCATGTGTAAGTAAAAATAGAGTAATAATACATGATTAGTTAAAAATACCATTGATTCAAAAGTGTAGGCTGAATAAAACCCATACTTTATGGAGAAGTGTTTTCTTTACATTAATTAGTTAGTAAAACATATCTAGTGTACCTTAAGTAAGAAATGGATTTCTACACCTCAAGCATACATCGTATAATAGAATAACAACAACAAAACACTTAAAATTTAAAAAAAATAAGTTGTGGTTGCATGAGTAGCTTGAGAATATATCTTGAGAAAAATTGTTTAGAGTTTCCTGATCACTAAAGAAATAAAAACAAAGATACCATTAGATACACTTGATTCTCCTGAAATAAACAAAAATGTTTAGCACAAAATTAAAAGCAGAGAAAATCCATCAATGAGGTGATAGTTTTCAGAAATACACAAAGGTTTAATGTAATGGAAATATGGGATAATAAACCAAGGAGCATATGGATTTAAATCAAGAAAAAGTCAAAAAGGTTTAGGAGCAAAGTATTGAGATCTTTTTTGAATGACCAGTATACTAAAAATGTATACTAAACATAATGCCACAGCAAAATATAACAACACAGTACTAGTGAAATTTAGGCTTCAAAAATGTAAAGGTATTTATTATTTCAAAATTATTCAAAGTATGAACCAAATTGGAGTACCCAAGGGATTTTATGAAAATAAATAAATATGGGTTCCAAATATGAGAATGCCATATAAAAATGAATTTCAAAAACTTTTGTTCATACTGTAATTAATATATATTAAAAATTAGTCATTTTAAAAGGTGTTGTCAAGGACAAATTAGGATTATATCACTTTATTCTGTAAATTTATGTCTTATAAGAAAGATGCAACAGGGTCACAAACTCAGGGAAAGCATGCATGTCATTGGCAAAATTATTGGGTTTTTTGATTTTTGTCCCCATAGTGAAGAGCATAGTTCTGAGTTGAAATGACTCACAGAGTACTTAAATATTTGTTTATAAAGAAATAAAGCAAGGTAATTTGTGAAATGATTGAATTAACGGTGGCTGAATGCCTTCTTAGAGAGTAAGGAACACCTGAGGATTGACTAACTGTTATCTTCATTTCTGAACAGATATGGATCAGTGTGTGAAGTGTCCAGAAAGTCACTATGCAAACTTAGAGAAGGATGACTGCCTCCCAAAATCTGTGACCTTTTTGGCTCGTGAAGACCCTTTGGGGATGGTTCTCACCACACAAGCATTGTGCTTCTCTGTAATCACAGCTATGGTTTTTGTAGTTTTTGTGAAGTACAGATACACATTGTTAAGGCCAATAATAAGGCTCTCAGCTACACCCTGTTACTGACACTCATCACTTGTTTCCTCAGTTTTTTGCTCTTCATTGGCCAGCCCGATACCACCTCCTGCATCTTACAGCAGACAGCATTTGGGATTTTGTTCATGGTGGCTCTCTCTACAGTCTTGGCCAAAGCTATTACAGTGGTTATTGCATTCAAGGTCACTCTTCCAGCTAGAATAGTGAGGTGGTTAATGGTATCAAGGGCCCCTAATTTCATCATTCCCATTTGCACACTAATCCAAACAGTACTCTGTGGAATCTGGATGGTTACCTCTCCACCTTTGATTGATCAAGATGCTCATGCAGAACATGGTTATATCATATTTGCAACAAGGGTTCAGATGTTGTCTTCCACTGTGTCCTAGGATACCTCTGTTTCTTAGCACTTGGGACCTACACAATGGCCTTCTCATCCAGGAATTTGACTGACACATTCAGTGAGGCCAAGTTCCTGTCATTCAGCATGCAGGTATTCTTCTGTGTCTGGACCACCTTCCTCCCTGTCTACCATAGCACAAAGGGGAAGGTCATGGTGACTATGGAGGTCTTCTCTATTTTGGCTTCCAGCATAGTGCTCCTTGGCTTGATCTTTGCCCCCAAATGCTACGTTATTTTTGTAAGCCCAGATAAGAACTCTTGTCTTGTCATCAGGCACAAATATTATTCAAGAAGGAATAGTCATTTATAATTTAGTTGAAGAATAACTAATTCTCACATTTATTAAGATATCCATGGCTAGATTAAGATCTGAGATAGTAGTGAGGATATAGACTACTAGTCTAAAATTTATTAGGATGAATAATTAATTAGGGTTCTGCTATTAAGGAATTCTAAACAAAGAACTAACAGCAATTAAGGGAAAATGGTATCTCAGTTATGCTGCTTAAGAAACAAGAAGGTACAAGAAACCCCTGTCTGACCCAGGGCCTCAGGATCTGAGATAACTTTGGAAGTGAGTTATGATGTCAAGGAAAATGGGATTATTATCTTTCGTATTAATCTGTCTATGTATAGCACTGTGGAAAAGCTTTAGGATATTAGCAGACAGATCGTTCCAAATGTCTTGTATATGTTAAACTGCTTTTGTGTCTCTTCCCTCAAAGCGGAATCATGTTTATATCTAGTCTGCCGCTCAGGGATATCATGTTAATAAAAGCTATGCCCATAAAGTGCTCTGCTTTTCTTCAGGTATTTCAGTGCAGATATTTTTTTTTATTTTTTATTAATTACACTTTATTCATTTTGTATCCCCCATAAGCCCCTCCCTCCTCCCCTCCTGATCCCACCCTCCCTCCCCTTTCTGCATGCATGCCACTCCCCAAGTCCACTCATAATCTGATTGGCCTGCTCTTTGATCACCTCCCCCTGAGGGGGGAGCAGCCTTACCAGGCCACAGTAGAGGACAATGCAGCCACTTTTGATGAGAACTGATAGACTAAGATCAGAAAGGAGAGGAGAACCTCCCCTATCAGTGCATATTTTATATGCAAATTATATCAAATTATTAGCTTTGTTAAAGTTTTTATGATCAAACAGTGGATGGCAGGAAAATAAATTCTCTGACTTTTTTCTTCTTGTTAAAAAATAATTTAGTTGAAAATTAAAATATACCTATGTTGGTAAATTTTTAGAATGGTTGGAATGATTAAAGTCATTTCTATACTATCTTAAATCTCTTATTCAGGCATAATATGATGTGATTCTATGAGTCTGTAATCTTCATTTAATTGTATTGAAGTCTATTTTTCCAGAAACATTATTTTATTTCATGTTTGAGATTCATGTTATACTTTTTTCTATAACAGAACTTCTCTGTGTATATTTTTCGGCCTGTAACTTCCTCTACTATTTCCCACTTCTTTCATAAGATTCCTTGCACTCTGCCCAAAGTTTGACCATAAGTCTCAGCATCTGCTTTGATAGTCTGCAGAGCAGAGCATTTCAGAGACCCTCTGTGGCAGGCTCCTGACTTGTTCCCTCTTTTCTCCTTCTTTTGATGTCCATCCTCTTTGCCTTTCTAGATGGGGATTTAGCATTTTAGCCAGAGTCCTTCCTCTTGATTAGTTTCTTTAGGTGTACAAATTGTAGTAGTTTTATCCTGTATTAATTGTCTATATGAGTGAGTATATACAGTGTGTGTCTTTCTGCTTCTGGGATAGCTCACTCAGGATGACCTTTTCCAGTTCCCATCATTTACCTGCAAATTTCATTTCTTTGTTTTTTATTGCTGAGTAATATTCTATTGTGTAGATGTACTACAATTCCTGTATCCATTCCTCAGTTGAGGGGCATTATGGCAACCTCATAAGTATACCAATAACACAGAAACTCAGGGATATCTGCCTTCCTTTGCCTACAATGTTGTGTTGTTGAAAATGTGGCACTATGTCCATCTATGTTGTGTAGCCCTTCTTTGCTAACACAAAAAAATGACAAAATATTAAATTTCATGTAATTGGTTTCATTTGATTTTGAACAAAAAGATTTTATATAATAAAATGCTACTAATAACAGAATATGATTTTACTATTTGAATTGAACATTATGAGTGTACATAGTCTTTGGATCACCAATTTAATAGTTTTTTTTTGTTTTTTTTTTGTTTTTGTTTTTTTTTTTTTTTGGTGACCTTCAGAAGAAATTCCATGGTTTTGAATGATAGTGAAAATTCTTTCTATTTTCTTATCTCATTTTTTGTTACATTATGTGAAAATAAGCCTCTTTCTGTAGAAAACTACAGATGATGCCTGATTTGTATTAGTTGTTTAGAAACAACAGAGCTCAGAAGCAAAATTTGAGCGGCTGATCAGGTGGTTCGTAGTCTGTTATGATCTGAATACATTGGAGAAGAGGCAAGACAATGAACTCACCTTAACAACGGCATTGTGGAAGACAGGGTCACTAAAATTCTACAGGAGAAACATATGTATGTTACATACTTCATTGAAAAAGATCAAATTCTTAGAGAAAAGGAAGTCAGAAATAATTTATATTGATAGTGGAAATAATATTTTTTAGTTTATTTTTACTTTATTTATTTTATATTTTATAGGTTCTTCTGGATTGCATGCATATATGCAGGCAGACTACTGTATAAATAATAATTAAATAAATCTTGAAGGAAATAATATTTAAAATGATCTCAGGGAAATAATTTGAACTTGATCATAGAAACCATGTTTGGATAGTTAGTATGTCCAAAGAAAACTCATGCCTCTATGAAAATAGGGGATGTTAAAGTGTCTTATTTGAGTAACATTATAAGTGCTGTACATATAAGTGAACATTAGCTGATGTAGTTTGGACATGTGCAGGCCAACATATTTTTTCTATTTAAAGCTCTGTTATCTTTGTGGTATGATTGAATGGGGGCGGGTAGACTTTTCAGGGGTTGAGTAGAGGGATTTAACTTCATGGACTCTGTTTATATTTTTGAGGCAATGTAGAAAATGAGAAGGCAAAAAGGAACCAGTCTGCCATCAGTAGAAGTGTTTATTTCCGATATGAAGAACAAACATTCTCCAGTAAAAAAAAAAAAAAAAAAAAAAAAACACCTGGGGGTTGGGGAAGGTTACCTGTGAAAATGGAAGAGTCTCATAAAATTCATATAGGGGCTTTTGCAAAGATGGGAATTTATATGCAGATTCAGGTGCCTACAGGCTAGTGTGTAATTCCTGGGTTATTTGTTCATGTGTGTACATGAAATTTTTAGAAATTGTCTGGTCCTGACTACCATGATGCATGTGGGAGTGGATGACTGGTTTGGGCAAAGGCAATGAATGAGAGGAGGCTGATGTTTCAACATAAGAGTCAGGACATGCCAGCAAACCTTAGTAGAATCTAATGTTCCTTGGCTTGGTGCAAACATCAGCACTTACTTACCAAGCCAGCATTACTTGAATATAATCACAGAGAGACTGAGGATGTGACATGTTTACTTCATGCAATCTGACTTTTTAAACCTTTCTTAGAAATAGATATAATGGCAGTTTCCAGGAAGAATACAATTGTACTTACCAGGATATAATGACATTTGCAAGCAATACAATGTGCACAAAGTTATGTTTAGGAACAACTGTTCTGATAAGCTTCTATATGCTTTCCTGATTTCCAGGGAATGCAGAGATACACAGGTGTTCTGAATTTTCCACTACCTTGGGGGATGCTTCAGGTCTTAGTAACAGAAAGGAACAAAGTGTCCCAGAAAAAACAGACTCTAAACAGAAAATTCTATGGCCTGTGCTTCTCAAGCCAGCCAGATGAACCTAACTCCATGATTCCTCACAATGCCTTTTTTTCTTTTCTTTTCTTTTCTTTCCTTTCCTTTCCTTTCCTTTCCTTTCCTTTCCTTTCCTTTCCTTTCCTTTCCTTTCCTTTTCTTTTCTTTTCTTTTCTTTTTTTTTCTTTTCTAAACACCAGAGTATGAATTTGAAACTTCAGAGAAGACATGGAGTAGCATATCAGTCTCAAGGTTATAATGCTCTCCATCAAAAGCAACAACATATTCCCAGAGTCATTACTAGGGGACACATTTTAGAAGCCCAATTAGTTACAGAAAAATAATGACCAAAACTCTTTGTTCAGGTTTGCATAGCAATGTAGGAGGGTAATTCATCTAAATCACAGTGCTGACTAGTAAATATTTCACCATGAAAGGTCTGAACATCAGTACTTAAATTGGCATGTGACCATCTTTGCCTGAGGAACACGATTAGCAGTAATAGATATACAATAGAGACTGTAGGCATAAGGTTACTATGTAATTCAAATGCCAATTATGCCCCTCCCCCAATGGCTGCAATGCTTTTTCTGAGAATTACCTGTCTGAATGTTGTGTAAACACTGCTCTTCAATCCCTCCCCCCATATGCCAATAAAGCAGCTTACAGCCAATCACTGTAGAGTGGAGAAAAAAAAAATGGCTGGACTTCTTCCCAGCCAAGGAAAGAGTTAGAGGAAGAGGGAGGGTTTTAGCCACAGGAGAGATCTCAGAGATAGCAGGAGAGAATCTGCAGCAAGGAAAATTTCAATGTGCAAATATCTCTGAGATGTATGCTGGGAGGAAACCAGATTAGTTTAGAGGGTTAAGAATAGACTAATGACTGCTCAGTTCTTGAGCTGTAAACAAATATAACAGTCTCATTATTTGTGTTATAGCTGAGTTACAAGAAAGACAGAGAAAGAAACACAGTTTTATAAAAGTAACTTTAACCTTTTGGAGTACCAGGTGTGCCTGAACATGCATAGAAAGTAAAACTCCAGAGCAATTTCTTAGTTCTCTTCATTAAGAGAGCAACAGCAGTTTTTAAAGCTCCCAGCTTCCTGATTAGAATCCCCACAGGGCAACAAGGCCTCCAGCCAGCAGCAGGAAAACAAAAATTGATACAAACCCCAGAGAAAAAATTCATTTAGGTCTTGATTAAAAAAATAAATGCATAAAACCTAAATAAAGGGGGGGGGTGCTCTAACACAAGCAAGCTTATCAAAGCCAGACTTTCCTAGGTAAGGCAGAAAATTAAATCTCTTTGAGAAGGGGCACTTGCTCGCCTGAATCTTGAGGACAGAAGAGTAAACACTTAAGTAACTAAATAACTTCCCAGAGTAGGGGAGAAGTCAGTATCTAATGAAGGAGGCATAAAAGCCTTTTTCTGGAAACAGGAGACAAAGACACTGAGAAGTCTTAAGCATCTGAACTGGTAAAGTCTAGAAGGAAAGCTGAATTTAAGAAGAAAAAAAAAAAACACTCCTTAGGGAGAATTTTTGAGATTAAAGAAGATTATTTTCTATGTTGAACATGAAGAAAGATACAGTGACACAGTGCGTCTGGATTCCATTTAAGTTTGTTTCTCTTAGCATACAGTTGTTTCTCATGGTATACAATGTCAATTCCAGTTTTGCATATCTTGTTTCAGAGAGACAGCCTTGGAAAAAGAAAAAAAAACCTGAGAATATAGATGCTAAATTAGGCCATAAAAAAGAGGTTGGAGGAATCTTTGAATCAAAATATGGAACCATCAGAGAAATCCAATCTAGAACTTACAATAATATCAAAGGAGGTAGATCCAGATGAGGAAAATCCATAGAGGAATGAAGAAATTGCAAATGGCACCCCATTGAGACGCAGAGTAAAAAGGCTTCAGCTATAAGTCAACATTGTCAGACAACATTGTATATGTATTGTCAAGGTTCAATTACTGGATGAAGGTCTATATGCTAAGGTAGAAATGAAGATCTTGTCTGCTATTCCCTTGGAACAATGTCATACAATGTCTTGCATGCTCCATTTTACAGACTTTGGAGAGCTGAAATATATGCACCATTCCTTAGGTTCATATTCAAAGTTCCAAGGGACATTTGCCTTAAATTCTGGAGAGCATAATTCTAAGTAACAAATTTGTATGAAATGATGACTGTCTTGGAGACGCCTCTGCAAATTGGGGCTGATGGTTCTTCACCATGTATATCCATTGGAATACAACAATATTTTAGACATTATGACATGAAACCTGTTATAGACATAACTTATAATCCTATAGGTCAAACAATTATAAACAGATCTAACAATAATTTTTTAAAAGGTGGTCACAAAACAGAAAAAGAATATGCTATCACCTCAACATAGATTAAATAATGATTTGTTAATCTCAAAGTTATTAAATGAGACAAGTAGCACAGCTGCTAAGATTCACTGGATTTTATAAGGGACTGCTGAAATGGATGAGCATATCACGATCCTAATTTCAAAATGGAAGACAGTAAATATTTTGCCTCGTGGAGGAGACTGCTCTTGTCTCAACAGGAAACAAAAGCCTATGTATTCAATCCAGAGTGTTGGAAATCAGGCTTGACCGGGGAGACCCCCTGACGATCTTGGCTGCAGACCGAAGGAAGGAAATCAAGAAGACCAAACAGGACAGGGAACATAATTTGCTGATCCCTCCACATAAGAACAGCTCTTAGACCGGCTGAGACATGAAAAAGTCTTCAGCCAGAACTTCAGCTATGCATGGCCAATAAATCATTGGCTACAAATTCCTCAGAATGTATCATGCCATTCTTTGAAAAGGCATACATGAAATTTGTTTTACAGGAAATCCTCTTTAACTGAATTATGTTCAGTGCACAGTCCATACAGATATTAATACACAATTGTGTAATACCTTCGAAAGTTAATATTTAGCAGAGCATGAGGACTAGACAACCAAGAAGACAAGACAAGTAGCCCAGGTGGTGCTGCCTCACAGATGGCCTCATGGAAGCACTGATTGCAGGCACCAAAAAAAAAAAATTAAAACTTTTGAGATGACTTGAAAAGTTATTTTGCCAATTTTGAAGACTCATGCACATAATTTTTTTAACTATCCTCTCATTGAAACTTCTTAATTTTTATTTATGTGGTTTTTTTTTATTTGCTTGACCGTTTTGGGGAGAATGATGCATGCACACCACAGTACCTGAGTAGAATGCAAAGAATAACTTTCAAGAGTTGGTTCTCTTCTACCATGTTGGTCCCAGGGATCAAATCTTCCTTGTCAGGCTTGGTGAAAAACACGCCTTTCCACTGAGCTATCTAGCTGGCTCCTTTTTAAAGGTTTTACTCTAAGATGATTTTGAAAGAGAATAGTCATGTGCTCTGAGGACAGATGAATAAAATGAACACTAGACCAAAAAAGGCTTCCTGAATATGAAAAAGTAGCTTTTTGAAAATATCATATACTGTGTTCAGCCTTGTTTATTTTACTTTATTTTATTTTGTCAGCATGTTGCAGTACCTTGGGGGTTAACCTGGGTTCTCTGATGTATTGTACCATGGAGCTACAACCCCATCTCCTCAAAGGGCCTTTGAAAGGACTGGCTTTCTCAAGAAAGAGCTTCAGGACCAACTTGGAACTGCTAGACAAAAAAGTTCAAACTATTTTTGGTACATGACATTTAATAAGCTGATTAAATCTGTCAGTGCTGTAAGCAAGATGATCCAACGTGGGACATGAATAATGAAAGAAGGAATTGAAAACAAGAGATGACTCATTAATGAAAAGTCATGAAAGCATCAAAAGTCTAGAATAAAAAATGAGAGTTAACAATTCCTAAATCATTAAAGATACATTCAGACATTGTGCATGTAGAAAGGATGAATTTGAACAAATTATTTTAATGTGACACAACCAGGATGCATATTTCCAGCTCTAATTATTTCTAATACTGAAGGATAAACTCAATGAAATTAAAGTGTTTCAGGAATAGGAAAGCTTTTAAGCTATTTGAAGATAAGTGAGAAAATTACACTTCCTTTGATTGAGTTAAAAAAAGAAAATGCAATTATCAAATCCTCTTTGAAAATGAAGGCAGTCTTAAAAGTTCAGTGTGGGGTCTCCAAATAATTCTTCCAAGAAAAATCTTAAAGCTACCCCAAATTTCTGAAAATGCTATCAGCAAATATTTTTATCATAAGTAAAAATAATTATTGAGGTCCTTATGCATTTAAAACAAGATTTTTTTATAGTACTTCTCATGATATGAAACAAGTGAAATGTGCATTCTATTCATGGCCTTGCACAGACCAGTAGAAAACTCACTACAGCTTGGTTTTCACTTCTCCACCATTGTCAAGCTCAGGAATTCTGTGCACATCCAGGCACTTGCTTTCCTTCTCTGTGAGCTTCATCTTTGCAGGTTCTGTTTCTGAAGAGGCAACATCTCCAGGGAGCTGCAGCTTTCTCAGAAGAATTAGAATGAAGAATGCGGGGAGATAACTTGATCCTCTTAGTGCTGCATGCAAGCCAAGGTAGACACGCCTATTGAAAAGAGCTCATCTGTATTAAATCTTAATGTGCTTAGTGAAAGATAATTTTGTGTATTCTTACAGATCCTTTATTCGCCCAAGAAAAGCATCAGGTGACAATTATGCTGATGTATTTTATATCAACTACTTTGCTAAATTATTAATTTTCTTTGTTAAACTATCAAAAAATACTATAAAACTTTAGACATATTTTCTTCATCTTGGTTATGGCTTATTTCCATTGTCAACCTGACTGGATTTAGATTTATTACAGAAACGCATCTCTGAGTGTTTCAATGGGGATGTTTTCAAAAAGGTTTAGCTGACATTGAATTTCCACCATGAATGTGAGAAGCACTCGGTGTGTCCAGAAAGAACATTCAACATGACCAGCCTCCTCAATCTTATCCTCCATACCTCCTGTGCCTCTACCACATATATTGCCACCATACCTCCTCTGTCATTTCCTCTGACACAATGCCTTTCTGCCATTATGACCTGTTCTCTGAAATACTGAGAAAAGAAAATAACAAAAAAAAAAAAAAAAAAAAAAAAACAAACCCTAAATCAAGTTAAGGCATCTCCCCTTTTCTGTATGATTTACTCAACTTTTGATTACACACGTATAAAACATCATAAAGCCACTTTTCAGATTGTCTTCCTTAGGCATTTTATATTGTTATATCAATAGGTTTTTGTGATATTGAATATTTTTTTATTTTATTATTTATACTTTATTCACTTTGTATCATAAGCCCCTCCATCCTTCCCTCCCCATCCCACCCTCCCAGACCCTTCTTTATGCATGCCCCTCCCCAAGTCCACTGATAGGGGAGGTTGTCCTCTCCTTCCTTCTGATTTTAGTCTATCAGATCTCATCAGGAGTGGCTGCATTGTCATCTTCTGTGGACTGGTAGGGCTGCTCTCCCCTCAGGGGGAGGTGATCAAAGAGCAGGCCTATCAGATTATGTCAGAGGCACTCCCTCGTCCCATTACTATGTAACCAACTTGCACACTAAACTGCCATAGGCTACATCTGTGCAGGGGTTCTAGGTTATCTCCATGCATGGTACTAGGTTGGAGTATGAGTCTCTGGGAAGACCTCTGTGTTCCAATTTCTGGTTCTGTTGCTCTCCTTGTGGAGTTCCTGTCTACTTCAGATCTTACTATTTCCCACTTCTTACATAAGATTTCATGCACATTGCCCAACAGTTGGCCAGCATCTGCTTTGATCGTCTGCAGGGCAGAGCCTTTCAGAGGCCCTCCGTGGCCGGTTTCTAGCTTGTTTCCTATTTTCTTCTTCTTCTGATGTCCCTCCTCTTTTCCTTTCAGGATGGGGACTGAGCATTTTAGTCAGGGTCCTCTCTCTTGATTACTTTCTTTAGATATACAGATTTTAGTAGGTTTAGCATATATTACGTGTCTATATGAGTGAGTATATACCCTGTATGTCTTTCTGCTTCTGGGATAGCTCACTCAGGGTGATCCTTTCCAGATCCCACCATTTACCTGCAAATTTCATGATTTCCTTATTTTTCATCGCTGAGTAATATTCCATTGTGTAGATATACCACAATTTCTGCATCCATTCCTCAGTTGAGGGGCATCTGGGCTGTTTCAAGCTTTTGGCTATTACAAATAAACCTGCTACAAACATGGTTGAGCAAATGTCCATATTGTGTACTTGAGCCTCTTTTGGATGTATGCCAAGGAGTGGTATGGGTGGATCTTGAGGAAGCACTATTCCTAGTTGTCTAAGAAAGTGCCAGATTGATTTCCAGAGTGGTTGTACAAGTTTACATTCCCACCAGCAGTGGAGGAGGGTCCCCCTTTCTCCACAGCCTCTCCAGCATATGTTTTCACTCGAGTTTTTCACCTTGGCCATTCTGATGGGTGTAAGGTAAAATCTCAGGGTCGTTTTGATTTGCATTTCCCTGATGGCTAATGAGGTTGAGCATTTCTTTAAGTGTTTCTCTACCATTCTATATTCCTCTACAGAGAATTCTCTCTTTAGCTCTGTTCCCCATTTTTTAAGTGGATTACTTGGATTGCTGCTTTTCAGCTTCTTTAGTTCTTTATATATACTGGATATGAGTCCTCTGTCAGATAAAGGGTTGGTGAAGATTCTTTCCCAATCTGTAGGCAGTTGTTTTGTTTTGATGACGGTGTCCTTCGCTTTACAGAAGATTTTCAGTTTCATGAGGTCCCATTTATTGATTGTCACTAATAGAGCCTGTGCTATTGGTGTTCTGTTCAGAAAGTTGTCTCCTGTACCAATGAGTTCTAGGGTATTCCCCACTTTTTCTTCTAACTGATTTAATGTGTCTGGTTTTATGTTGAGGTCTTTGATCCACTTGGACTTTAGTTTTGTGCAGGGTGATATGTATGGATCTATTTGAATTTTTCTACATGTAGACATCCAGTTAGACCAGCACCATTTCTTGAAGATGCTATCTTTTTTCCATTGTATGGTTTTGGCATCTTTGTCAAAGATCAGGTGTCCATAAGTGTGTGGGTTTATTTCTGGGTCTTCTGTTCGGTTCCATTGATCCACCATTCTGCTTCTATGCCAGTACCATGCAGTTTTTATAACTGTTGCTCTATAGTACAGCTTAAGATCAGGGATGGAGATACCTCCAGAAGATGTTTTATTGTAGAGGATTGTTTTAGCAATTCTGGGTTTCTTGTTATTCTGTATGAAGTTGAGAATTTTTCTTTCCAGGTCTGTAAAGAATTGTGTTGGCAATTTGATTGGAATTGCATTGAATCTGTTGATTGCTTTTGGTAAAATGGCCATTTTTACTATGCTAATTCTGCCAAGTCATGAGCATGGGAGATTTTCCATCTTCTGATTTCTTCTAATTCTTTCTTCAGAGACTTATATTTTTGTTTCATACAAGTCTTTGACTTGTTTGGGTAGGGTTACACCAAGGTACTTTATGTCATTTGTGGCTATTGTGAAGGATGCTGTTTCCCTAATTTCTTTCTCGGGCCTTTTGTCTTTTGTATACAGGAGGGTTATTGATTTTTTTTTTTTTTTAGTTAATTTTTTTATCCGGCCACTTTGCTGAAGGTGTTTATCAACTGTAGGAGTTCCCTGGTAGAGTTTTTGGGGTCACTCACATATACTATCATATCATCTGCAAATAGTGATAATTTGACTTCTTCCTTTCCCATCTGTATCCCCTTGATCTCCTTCAACTGTCTTATTGCTCTAGCAAGGACTTCCAGAACTATGTTGAAGAGATATGGAAACAGTGGGCAGCCTTGTCTTGTCCCTGATTTCAGTGGGATCATTTTAAGTTTCTCTCTGTTCAGTTTGATGTTGGCTATAGGCTTGCTGTATATCACCTTTACTATGTTTAGATATGTGCCTTGTATCCCTGATCTCTCCAACACTTTAAACATGAATGGATGTTGGATTTTGTCAAATGCTTTTTCAGTATCTAGGGAGATTATCCTGTGGTTATTTTCTTTCAGTTTGTTAATATGGTGGATCACATTGATGGATTTCCGTATATTGAACCACCCCTGCATGCCTGGGATGAAGCCTACTTGGTCATAGTGGATGATATCTTTGATGTGTTCTTGTATTCATTTTGCAAGTATTTTGTTGAGTATTTTTGCATCAATGTTCATAAGGGAGATTGGCCTGAAATTTTCTTTCTTTGTTGGGTCTTTGTGAGGTTTAGGTACCAAGGTGACTGTGGCTTCATAGAATGAGTTTGGTAGCGTTCCTGCTGTTTTTATTTTGTGGAATAGTTTGAAGAGAATTGGAGTTAGCTCTTCTTTGAAGGTCTGGTAGAATTCTGCGCTGAAACTGTCTGGTCCTAGGCTTTTTTTGGATGGGAGACTTTCGATGACTGCTTCTATTTCCTTGGAGGATATAGGACTATTTAATTGCTTTACCTGGTCCTGATTCAGCTTTGGTAAGTCTAATTGATTGAGAAAATTGTCCATTTCATTTAGATTTTCAAATGTTGTGGCATATAGACTTTTGAAGTAAGTCCTAATGATTGTTTGGATTTCCTCAGTGTCTGTAGTTATGTCCCCCTTTTCATTTCTGATTTTGTTGATTTGGATGGTGTCTCTCTGCCTTTTAGTTAGCTTGGCTAAGGGTTTGTCTATCTTGTTGATAGACATTTCTCAAAGAATCAGCTCTTGGTTTCATTGATTCTTTGAATTGTTTTATTTGTTTCTAATTGATTGATTTCAGCCCTGAGTTTGATTATTTCTAGCCATCTACTCCTCTTTGGTGTGTCTGCTTCTTCTTTTTCTAGGGTTTTTAAGTGAGCCATTAAGTTGCTTGAATGCGCTGTCTCAAATTTCTTCTTGAAGGCACTTAGTGCTATGAACTTTCTTCTCTAAAAGCCACAAACTGTTTGGTTGCAACTTCCTTTATTTCTTCATGGATGACCATAATCTGTTTTTCTTTATCTTCTATTTCTTTATGGATGGCCATAATCTTTTTGTTTTTATCTTCCTCTATTCCTTTATGGATGGCCATAATCTGTTTGAGTTTATCTTCCTCTAGGTCTTTACGCATTTTATTTGTTTCCTCTGTTATCCTCTTCTTGAGCATAGGTCTTGAATTTCATTTATGTTGGAGTGTCCAGGGCTAGTTGCCCCTGGATAACTGGGTTCTGGAGATGTCATATTGCTCTGTCTTTTGTTGGTTGATCTTTTATGCTGGCCTCTACCCATTGAGCTATCGTAGGTGTTTGGAGTTAGTTTCTGGTGGTTTCTGAAATCCTATGGTAGAGAGAATTCCCTTGGCAGGAAGATGATTTTTACTGAAGGAAGCCTCCTCAGCTTTTTGGGTATAGTCACTGTATGGATAGTGTTTTTCAGGAGTTGCCACAGCTCACCTCAGGCATGAGTGTTAACTGTGGTCCTTGTTAGTCAAGAGGGTTCTCCTCTCTCCCAGAGAAGTCCTGAAGACAGCTGCCCTGCTTCTGGGTTTCTTGCTGTAAATTTAGTGATCTGCTGCTGTAACCTGTGTGTCCCGTGGTT